AACAAGTATAATATTTATGAATGACGCGTTTCCTACATTAGTTGGTTCTAATATAAACATTAAATGAAAATAAATTTTTACCGTATAATAAATGAATGTATCTTCAACGTCATGAAATATAATTTTGCGCATAAACTACACTTATTTTAACAAAAAAAATATCATTTTCAGAAATATTATTCCATTAGTGTTAAAACATGTTAAGTCAACAAATACTCACTTTGAGTTCGCGTAATTCACCGCGGAGAGAATATGAATATTCTTCCTTAACCCAAAAAAACAGGAAAAATGTGTAATTAAATATATAGTAGGTAGAACATCGTCAAAGAATATGGCGTAATGAATGAATTTATTTATTTCTAATTAGTAGAAGTTTTGTTATCACATCCTAACATGAAAATATCTTTATTAGCAACTAATTTCAATTATGAATTTCAATACAAATATCGATTATCAAAATACAATAAACATGTGGTCCCATTAAAATAGTTATTTTGGTCTTACATATATTAATGGAAGTGGCATTGGAGGTAGTTATTCCCAAGAAATGAGGGCATTTTATTTGTCTAATTTTCTAATGTTTTGACTATATAATAAAGGGTTTGTTAGGAGTACCTAACACTTCATTCTTTGTTTTCAACAATCAACAATAGACATCGGAGGTGCTCTTTGAACAAAAAAGTCTCAATTCATCACAAAAGAACAAAAATTACATCCTCTTAATTTTCAAGGTTTGTTCTTTTTGTTTATTGTTTTTTCTTTTTCATTTTTTGGTAATTAGTACTACTAGTTTCATTAGTTAATGTTAATTCTTGATTTTGCTTAGTTTATGGTTGATCTTGAAAGTATCTTAAGATGAATTATATTCTTCTGTTTATATGCAATTACCTTCTCTCATTTTTTTCCTTTTTTTTTTTGGGTGATTAGAGTATAAAGTTGTGATTTTTATGTTGTTGGGTAAGAGATAATTTGCAGTTCTTTTAGTTTTTTTTTTTTTGTATGAAGTTTTGATGTTTATGTTGTTGGGGGGTATATAACTAGTGATTTTTCTATGTGTTTTATATAAAGTTAAGACATTATTTGCATTTCTTTTTTTTTCTTTTGAGTTTAGGTTAGTCTTGAGGAGTTCCTTAATTAATGCAAATTATTGACTTTGTTTAGTTTATGGTTTAAGGTTTTGGTGTTGATCTTGAAAGCATCTTAAGATGAAATTTTGAGTTTATGTATGCAGTTAATATGCAATTTCCTTATCTCCTTTTGCATAAAGTTTTGATTTTTATGTTGTTGTGTAAGAGATTATTTGCAATTCCTAATCTTTTTTTTGGGTGGGTGGGGGTATAAGTAGTGATTTTTCTATTTGATTTGTATAAAGTTTTGATTTTTATGTTGTTGGGTAAGAAGATTTGTCTTTTGATTGTAATTTTTTTACTTTCTTTTGTGTTTGTTTTAGGTCTCTATGCTTTTTCATTTTCTTAGTTTCCTTGATTTTTCAAAAGATTGATGTATATGCTAAGTTATAACTCTAGTGAGTCAATTCTGTAGTAAATGGTTAGTTTTCAGTTTATCGATGGCAAAATTAACCCGTGAAATCATAACCATCTATGTTTAGCTTAGGAGCATCATTTATTAGTCGTAATGTGCTTCAACTGATCAACTCTGCTTCTTTTGTTCTGTAAGTTAGCTTCTTTATGCTTTTGTAACAATCTCTTGTGATCATGCCTATCACTTTTCTGAATTTTAGTTACTCCAGCATACTGATCGTGATTTTCGTTCTTGGCAGGTTCTGTCAGTTGTCATTGGAGTTGCGAATCCTTCTCTAGTTCTTTCGAGTTGACATTGTCACATGATGCTGAAAGAATTGAGATGTTGTGACTACTTTTAGTCGAGAGAGATTTGCTGAGATCTAAGATAGCTTTTGTCTGCAACGGTTTCTTGACATCACTCTACTTCATCTTAGCTAGTCATTTTCCCAGAGAACACAAATGTCTGGAAGTGTCCACGGATTGTACAATCAGAAAATGCAGCAAGTTGAGCAATATTACACCCCTTACAATGTTCTTAAGAACAGTTGTAAAGATACTCGTAGCTCAGGGATGCAGTTCTCTTTTCAGGCACAAGACGAACAATTCTTCACTCTGGACTCGTCACCAGCTACCGACTATGTTGTCAACGATTCACCTCCTGCCTTGAGTGTGTCTTCCAACAGGAGTCCCTTCTCTCCTCAATGTTCACAGTCATACATGTCTGATCTGCATCACTCCTCTGATAACACTTGTGGTTCGCCTTTGAGTGGCTGTTCAGGAATTGATGATGGTGACTTGAGACATGTGCTTCGGGAGCTGGAGAATAAATTACTGGGGCCTGAATCTGATACTGACGATAGCTGCAGCTGCTCCTTGAACGATATGGTCTCAAAACCGGCTTCCGTAACAAGGTGGAACCGAGTGTTGGACATGGCCCCTGGCTTGAACTTGAAAGAGTTGCTCGATGCCTGTGCTGAAGCAGTGTCAGATGCTGATATCTCAACTGCTGAAGCTCTTATGAGAGCTTTGGAGCAACGGGTGTCAGTGTCTGGGGAACCGATGGAACGGTTGGGTGCATACATGTTGGAAGGGATTAGAGCACGACTACTATCATCAGGAAGCATCATATACAAAAAATTGAAGTGCAAAGAACCAACTGGCTCGGAACTATTGTCTTACATGCAAGTCATCTTTAACATGTGCCCATACTACAAATTTGCTTGTATGTCTGCGAATGTCGTCATCAGGGAAGCCATGATGAATGAGAACAGAATCCATATCATTGATTTTCAGATTGCACAGGGAAGTCAGTGGATATTCCTCCTCCACGATCTTGCTCGTCGTCCTGGTGGACCCCCATTTGTCCGCATCACAGGTGTTGATGATGACGAATCAGCTTATGCTCGGGGTGGAGGACTTCAGCTAGTAGGCGAAAGGCTAGCAGAAGTTGCCAAATCATGTGGAGTGCCTTTTGAATTCCATGGTGCTGCACTCTCAGGCTGTGAGGTCCAACTAGAGAACCTTCGGGTTAAACATGGAGAAGCGCTGGCAGTAAACTTCCCTTATATGCTGCACCACATGCCAGATGAGAGTGTAAGCACTATCAATCATCGTGACCGCCTATTAAGACTAGTTAAGAGTTTATCCCCCAAAATTGTAACCTTAGTTGAACAAGAATCAAACACCAACACTGCCCCTTTTCTTCCAAGGTTCCGTGAAACTCTTGATTACTATACAGCAATGTTTGAGTCAATTGATGCAGCTCGTCCTAGGGACGACAAGGAGAGGATCAGTGCAGAGGAACATTGTGTGGCACGAGACGTTGTGAACATAATAGCATGTGAGGGAGCTGACAGAGTGGAAAGACATGAACTTTTCGGAAAATGGAGGTTAAGACTTGTGATGGCTGGATTCACCCCATGCCAATTGAGTCCATCAGTTGGTGAGACCATCAAGGACATGTTGAAAGAGTACAACCCAAATTATCGGTATGCAGAAAGCGAAGGAGCACTCTATCTTGGATGGAAAAATAGAGCTTTAGCAACTTCATCTGCTTGGAGATGACATTTTTTATAGAGCTTTAGCAACTTTATCTGCTTGGAGATGACTTTTTTTTTTCCCTATGATCTCAACGTTTTATCTTTTAACCCTTTTCGTTTCTTACCTACAGAGCTCGGAGTATGAAATGTTTAGGTTTTTACATACCAGCATAGGGAAGAATATAGTGAGTTTGAAATAGACTATGTCTCAACATTTGGTTATTGTCATTTCCCTTTGTATTTGGATGCTCTTTTTTAGTTGTACATTTTTGTAACGGGTTCATATTTGGTTAATCGAAGCTTATGTACAACCACTTAAAGGCAAGAATGGAATGAATAATACGATACTTCGTGTCCTTCCTATCAAATCTTTAGTTCTCAACTAATTACTATGTGAAAAAATTGGATGTAGGTTTGCATATAACATGAATCGAACTCTAGCTCCATACGTCAAAAAGAAAATATGAAGAACTTTAGTACTTTTCATGTTTTCCACTCCTAACTTTTATGGTACAGTAAAATTTGGATGAGGACCGAGTAATTAAAGCCAAATGGATCAACATCCCTAAATTTCGAAAAAAAATAAAACAAAATCTTTTTTCTTCCTTTTATGTACAGGTGTCAAATTCTAATTTGTAAAAATTACAAACTCTTAACCAATTACCAAAAAAGAACATTTAAAAGATTTTTATTTTATTTTATTTCTATTGAAAAAAGCAACAGCTCAATTTTCTATTCTTTGAATCTGAATTTACAAATCCTTCCCCTCAGTCACCATCAACAGAGGTAGGTTTTTCAGTGAATTGATTTTTTATTTTTCATTTTTGTGGGAGTTTTTCAAATAAACAAGTAGTGTTTTTCTTTTTTTCTTTTTTGGATTTTTCGTGATTATGGTGAAATTAAATCAATTTTTTTCTTTGTTTTATAATGGATGAAGATTTGTGTGTTATGGTTGATTAAGGACCTGAGATATATAGTTCTTGTGGACTTAAATTAAGGTAATTATGTTTGTTTGTTTGGGTTTCTCATTCGATGTTATAATTGTGTATTGGCATTTGCATCTTTTGTATAGGGTTTATTTATTTGAAGCTTATTGATCGTTGAGGGTCTATTATAAACAATATGTCTATCTTTATAAGTCACGTGTTATGTTGTTGTTGCTTATGGAAGATATTAGCACGGTAAAAAAAAATCATAGGTGCTAGATAAGCCTACATATAATTTGCATTTCATTTTACATCTAAATGAAATTAGAGTAAAAAGAGTGATTCTTTGATGGTACAAAAAGAGTGATTCAGTCTATATAGTAGGAGGGTGTGCATACACTTTACCCTCCCCAGAGCCCACCTATGAGATTACACTGGTATGTTGTTGTTCGTTATTGTCAATTTGGTTTTAATTGAAGCATACAAATTATATTTCTGTTGCAAGACTGGATCAAAAACTTGAAGAATATTTGGTTCAATGGCTACTACTGAAGAGTTAGCTAATACTAAAGAATGGCACGTCGTAAAGAACTGGCGAAATGCACAGAAAGAGAAGGAGAGAGAACGTCGTAGAATTCGTGATAGATTGAGAAGACAAACAATGAGCAATGAGGAGAGGGAAAAACACTTAGCTAGACGTCGAAGAAACTATCAATTGAGAAGACAAAAAGTGTTGAACAATTCTTCATTTTTAACTTGTCAAAATTATGACAGTACTACTAGTGCAGGTAGGGGAGGAACTAACCGTGTCTTCATTCGTGTTATCAAATTCACTCTGTTATCAATACGTTGTTATAAAATTCTGAACGCATACAGTTTAAATCCTGGATTCGTCTCTGTCTCTGATGACTGTAGGATACTCTAATGAAGAAGAAAATCAAGCAATTGTTCCTGTTTCTGGACTTGGGGTTCAGTTATCTGATGTTACATTTCATCCTGAATTGTATAAATCACAAGAAGAACCAGCTGATGCATCAAGTACATTGCACCAAGGTACATTTTGTATAGTTTAAACATATGAACTTATACTATAACAGTGGTGCCTCTACTATTATACTGGTTACTTTGCTCAGACTCGATCCTCCAAAACATTTTGGAGAGTCTGAGCGACATAAAGTATTAGTATATTTGTGGTTAGGTGGTGTCTGGACCAACTTGTTTACACCGACCTACTATCTTCCACCAACATAGGTACCCCGATAACTCTGACTATCATGTGATGGATGCCCTTTTTACCTTTGAAAAACACTGGTAACACTATTTCATTACTCCCTTTATTGAAAAGATTCATTTTTTTGTTCTTTTGTAATTGAATAGGAGTTGAAAAAGTAGAGAGAAGTCAAAACGTTATGCCTTTATATCAAATAAGACATCTTGCTAGATTATTGAATTCTTTTTCAAGTAAGAATCAAGAAATTGGGACCAAGGACAATGTGAATACAGAGAGTAAGTTTCTAACACATACTTGTCATGTCCTTTTCTTTGATTCGTTGTCTTTCTATCGCGCTGAATTTTAACTGATATTCAGGTAGATCGCGACGAGGCATAAGGTTAATTGATGTTAAGCGTCTGGCGCGAGCGCTTAATTCAAATTGAAGGTTGTTTTCTCATTATATTAGCTGCATTGTTGTTGTTGGTAATAACATTAAGGATTAAACTGCAGTATCTTTTCTTTTTGTTAATGTTGATCTTTTCTTGGTGTAGTACATTAGAATCAAATGCCAAGGTAATTATTTTCTTACACTCTACGATCATGACCAGGGGCCAAAGACATGAAGCAAACATCCACAACTATTTATGCTATTGCAACCCAGTGATAAAGAGCTAGAATTTTCACTAAATGAATTCAACAGATAAAGAAATAAACACAAAGCTAAGATTGCATTAACCATTGGTAAGACAACTTACTACTAGAGTAGTAATCTTTACAAGTCACAAAGAGAAGTAAACATAGTAGTAAGTTGTAAATTCATTGTTCTTCCTAAACTCTTACTGCGACCTCAATGCTCTAACTAATGTACTATCAATGAAAAAAATGAATTCTGCAGGCTTCGTTTCCACGAGTTGCCTGTTTCAGAAAATTGCAACAAAAAGAAAATCAGTACCATGCTTAAAATGGCGTTCGTAATAGGGTTAATTCAGCAAAGGAAAAAGATAGGCCTATAAATCTCCAAGTATTCTTGATATGTCTACAACCATTAGAACAATATGGAATTTAACTATTTAAGCAAGAATCGTAGTTTCAGCTGATTTAATGAACTCCGAAAACAAAAATACACTTTTTTGAAGAGGAAGGGAACTGAACACCTTAGAGAAACTAGAGAGTCGTCACCATGAAAACTGACCAAACATTCAAAGGAAGTTTTCAATCCAACCCATTAGTCACAACGGTTAAAAACAAGTAACTATCCAATTCGACCCATTAGACATGGGTACTTTTAAAGATGGATCAAATATGAATATTATCCACTAAAATTTTGGAAAACTGGATATCCAGATGCATCCATTTGTGTGTTTGTGCTCTCACGTGACTATTTCTGAAACCATGAATAATATGTATTATCTAGCAGTTAAAAGGAAAACATAACTCACAACCACATAATTCCTCTCAGTGTACACATCATAAAAATACAATTCTGATAACAAAAATTGTACAGAATGGAAACAATCAATTTTGTTATCAATGAATTGAGAGGAAGATCGAACCTGATGATGAACGACATGGTGCTCCTACGATTTCATGATGGCTGCTGCTATTTCAGGAAAATGCTTCTTAACTATTTCATCAACCCGCTTCCCATTTTCCTTAGAACAGGGCCTCTTAGCTATTTCAGCAAGCTCCTTCTTGTCGATTTCACAAGGCACCTTCTTAGCAAATTCAGTAACCAGATAAGCCCATTCTCTGTCTTGACGCTCAATTTCTCTGTCTAGACGCTCAATTTCTCTATAGAATAAAGATAGGGACAAACCAGATCAAAATGTTATTCCGACTGAAAAATGACAAAAGAAATGTCCCGCATACAACTAGTACAAGATCCCGAGGATCCATGGCTTAAGCAATTCTCTTCCGTTTGAGCTAGATTTTGGAATGCGAGTTAGGCCTAACATCCATTTAACAAAAACTTTTAAAAAATCCAAATTAAGGAAAAAACAGTAGAAAACGCACTCAATCAACCTGTTATGTCTCCTTTGTATAAAAAAATATATTACAAAATATAGCTTTTGGGATGCGAGTCCATTTAACAAAAACATAAAAAAATGCAAATTACGAAAAGAAGCAGTAGAAAACGCACTCAATCCACTGTTGTTGTTTTTTTAATGAAATTGCGTAAAATTTATGTCAAAAATTTATTTTTCGCGCATGGTTCTTCTCGGATTCGAGTTCCTCGAGTATGGAGTTACTCTTTGCCCCCAATGCCTAGCATGATTTTTGATTTAGTTGAGCTCCAATGCAGATACATACAGGATGGGAAAAAAAAGGCATAACACTCAAAACTTGGCCTTAAGTGGGAAAACATCTATACAACTCAACTCGTTAGTAATCATCTAGACACTTCCAAAGCTTACAATTTGACGAGATACAGTGTTTAGTTGTCAGTTGAGACAAAATTGAAGTAAACCAAACATTCAATAACAAGGAATTCACAAAAATTAATCACAGTACCTCTGAAGCCGAAGCATTTTTGTTGTGAACCTAAGATCTTCTATTGTAATGTCACGAGCATGTAGTTCATCTTCCAAAACGCGATTCTGATACCATTTTTCTAATTCAGATTCCAAGAATTGATTGTGAATACATCCACCGCAATCTGAACAAGGATGACAAGGAGGATCTCCTCCATTGCAATCTGGACAAGGGGCATGAGGAGGAGGTTTCGCCATTGTTAGGGTTCCAAGGAACGAACTTTACCCGCAAAAATTGAAGATTTGGGTATTTATAGGTACAACTCCTACTACATTACGTACAAACAAAGTCACCTTATTTGATTGTGATTTCTTTTTTAACAATTATTTAAAATTTGAATTTGCTAAAATATAATTAAAAATGTGTCAAATTAATTTAAATTTTCCTTAATAAAAAATTTACTTCACTTTTTTTTTAGCAGAGTCTTGATTAGAAAGTCTCTTTAACATGCATAAAATTTGGTTATATTTGTGTTATTTTGTTATATAGTTTGGTAATTTTTATTTTGCAAATTTTACTAGATTGGTAAAATGTGTTTGTGTCGTATTGTTTAAATGTGCTCACAATTTATTTTTTTAAGCCGGATAGATAAGATTTGATATAAAGGATTTATCTGCATTTTTGTTTGTATTTTGTGATTGTCTTTAATTTTTACCCATTGAGATAAATAACTTTTTTGCTTAGTATAAATTTATATTCTTGCATCATAATTAATGTTAATAATATAGTTTCTCAAAAAATTAGTTTCCAACAAGTAAAAGGTTTTATTTTACCTACTACAAATGTCCAATGTTTCCACTTAAGGAAAATATAATTAAAACATATTATTCCTCAATAAATAATTAAGGTAGGCGGAAAATTTTAAATCCCACTCTTACTCAAACTTCAGAAAATACATTTATAAACCCAAAACAAATTCAATAGCACTTGATAAAAAAAGAAAAAAAAAGTTTTCATTTTCTCTCTTTGTGATAGAGAATTCAAACAAGAAATCTCTAATGGATGATGAAGATTTTCTTCTTTCTTTCCAAGATTTTGATTTGAAAGAAAATTTAACATGATGAAACTACTGATTCAAAATTTTCATCAACATTTCAATGGTCATCAACAAGTTCTTCAAATATTTGGGCTTATTATTACAAACTCAACAATGCCGCCATTCTGGTTTATTTAAAAAATTAAATGAAAATAGTCACCACTTTATTTTTTAAGAAAAATTAAGAAAACCAATATTTTTTAAAGAAAAATCAATTGAAAATATTACTTTATTTGAAATTTTTGAAATTAGGATTGTATTTGGCCATACTTTTTACAAACAATATTTAAAATCTGAATATATTTTGTATGAATATAATTTAAATCTTCAATTTCTAAAAATTTGAAAAATCACCCGACTTGAGTAGCTTAACCATGTGTATATATGTTCATTCGACTTGACACATTTTTTTGTTGGTGGCGTGAGTTTTTTTTAAAAATAGACAGAAGGATGAATCTTGCAACTTTTTGGATAATGCAAGAATGTTTATTATTCATTTATATAATACAATGATGTACTTTAAGTTTAAGTCATACTTCAAAGATAATTTTAGCCAAAAATTCACTAGATTTGCTTTAAATCATATACACAAGAACGTTTTTTTCATTCGTTATATGTTGACTGGCATGGATGAGCTAGTCAAGGCTCTTACGCTAAAAAAATATTCAAACAAAATACTCTTAAACATGATATTTATAATCTTTAAAATAAGATAAGATATCAGATATAATAAATTTTTAAAAAAACTTATAATATAATTTTTTTATATATTTATGATGAATATAACTTAAACTCATTTTCAAGATGTATATAATATAATTCATGTGAGTTATTCAGATCTTCGTTAGGTGTTAATAAACTAAAAGAATAGAAAAAAGCAAGATTCTCCTTTTTTTTTATTCTTTCTTGAACTTACCTTCTCTATATATTAAAAGGGAAAATTACGTGGTTAAACAAACTTATATTACTTAATTACTCATCATAGCTATAGTATGTTATAATTACCACTCGCAACTAACATTATACATTAATTATATGGGCTGACATCGACTTTGTATAATTAGTCACGTTTGTATATGTATAATTCGCAGCTAACAATTCTTTGTTTGATTTGTATTTGTATACAATTTACATCATCATGTTCATCACATAGTCTTTTCCATTTCAACCATTTTCTTATTCATTTAGATGTATCAAGTGGACAATTAAACCTTTCACCTCATCCCCATTACTCTCAACACACAAGCAACGAAGGAAGTACACGAATTCTACTAGAATACAAGGTTTAGGAGGTCACTTGCCTTAAATCAATCAATAATCACTCCAAGAGTCGAGTCTTTCCCTTCTGAATCACTTCCAAATCCACACAATATATTCACAATCACTCATCGAAAACAACAAGTTTCACATCAATTATATAGAGAAATGGGTCAATCAATGAAAAATAAAATTTCAAAATGGAGGTTTGAATTTGGTAAACAATACTTGAAATGGTGTTTAAGGCTTTAGGAATTCATTAGTGAAAACCATTTCGAAAAAAGGATGAAAACCACTTCAAAATCACCATTTTACTAAGTTCTTGGGTTCATGAAAATAACCCCAAATTTCACATTTCAAAAGCTTGATTTGAACACATAAATCCATAAATAATAATGTGTAATTGAAGATTTAGAGTTAAAATTCGTTACCCAAAAGCTTTTCCTCAAAAATTAGGTTCGAATCGCCACCCAAAGCTCCCAAACCTCAAAAAATGGTGAAATGGGCTTAAACCACGAAATTTGCAGGTCAAAAACCCTCTTAGGTCTCGCAAAAGCGACTAGGAGTTTGCTTAAGCGAACCCGGCTAAAAGCTCGAATCTCGCTTAAGCGATCAGACCTTCGCTGGTGCGTATCGGAGGTCGCTTAAGTGAAGGTTCTTCGCAAAAGCGGCCCACATCTCGCTAAAGCAAACCTCACAAGAGCAAGTCATCTTTCGCAAAAGCGGAGTGCACCACAACAGAGACACAGAAATCAGTAAACTCTAAAAACATCAAAAGGACCCTCGAGATTCATTCAGAATCTCATGCGCACAAATTAACCACATATGCAAATCAATTTTACTCAACGTTCCGGACTCGATGGAACCGCCAAAACACGAATTTGAGGTCTCCTTGACCCGACATTCGTGAAAACCACAAGAAACTAACTAAACGGGTAAAAATGCTAGAACAAGCTCAGGACCTCTCAAATATCAACCAAGATCTGACCTAGGCCTAAAATTATCCCCCAAATTCAACAAAACTCTCCAAATTTCGATCCGAGCATCCGAACCTCAAATGTTGACCAAAGTCAACCCAAAGGCTAAATTTCCACAAATTCATAACTTAGGACCTCAAATCCTCAAAAGACTCTGAATCAGAAACCGACAACTCTCACAAATAGATTTCACATTTCGAGACTGATGGAATCGATGGAATTCAATTCCAACACTCGAAACTCCAAAAGACTCCAAAAGCCACTTTTAAGCAACTTAGCCTTTCAAAAGCATAAACTTATCAAATTCTCAACTTTTTAGTCAAATTCCAAAACAAACTTTCAAAACTCAACATAAAAAGACTCAGGGATGATATCGGAAGGGCAAAACGGTAAATTTCATGGAAAAAAAAACAAAAAATACCAACCGGGTCATTACAAGTTTAATAAAAATTATTTTGCAAATTTTATTATACGGGCATAATCTTCTGATTTTGTTGAGTTATTTAAATGTTCACAATTTTTTTCCCGGACGGATAAGACTTGATTCAAACGGCTTTTGTTCCTACTGTGTTGGTCTTTAGTTTTTACCCCTTGAGATAAATAACTTTTTGCTGTGTATAAATTCATATTTCCGCCTCATTATTTATGCAAAACCAATTTATTTAAAAGGCAAAAACCGCATAATTAAATGTTAATAATATACTAAATTTCTCAAAAAATTAATTTCCAACAAGTAAAAGGTTTTATTTTACGTCACAAATTTCCAAAGTTTCAATTTTAGGAAAATATTAGTACGTAATAAAAATAACAAAAATATTATCCTCAATAAATAATTAAGTATTGTAGGCCGAAAAATTTAAATTCCACTCCTACTCAAAGTTTAGAAAATATACTTATAAATATTTCCTATGAACAACGCAAAACATAAAACAAGCTTCATTACCATTTGATAAAAAAAAAATATGAAAAAAATGGAGAATTCTCTCATGAAATCACCAATGAAAAATGAAGATGATCTTCCTTCATTTCAAGAGTTTAACTGGGAAGAAACAACGGATGATGATACTTCTGATTCACCCATGAAAGATGAAGATGATTGAAAGATTGTTGAATATCAATGGCCATCAACCAATTCTGCCAATATTTGGGCTAATGAAAGTAAGTATATTCAAGATTGATCTATTTAAGTATAAAGTTCATAACTTTATGTTGTTTTTCATACGATTACTACTTTCTTGTTAACATGTTGAAGATTTCTTTATAGTTGATGTTATGCAAGCTGATCTTGATTATCAAAAAAATAAAGATTTCTTTTAAGTATAAAGTTCACTACTTTATGTTACTCATATTTCTTTCACTTAGTACTTTCTTTCTAATATGTTCAAGATTTCTTTATAGTTGAGGTGATGCAAGCTGGTCTTGACACTATGGTTATCAGGGTGGCTCAATGCCTTTAAAAACGAGGCATATGCCTTAGGCCCCAAAATTGAAGGGCCTAATTTTTTAGTAATAATAAAATTATCTTAAGCTTTTTTTAACAAAAAATAAAAATAAAGAATGTTTTAATTTGTTTCGAAATATTAAAGAATGTTTCTTTTTTATGGATCAATTTTTAAATTTAACTTCCACATGATATGTTTAAGACCACAAGATTAAAAAATATTTGGTATATATATATATATATATATATCTTTAGTTTAAGATCATAAAAAATAGCAAAACTTTTTTTATTAAAAAAAATAAAATAACTTGAATCTCAGATATAAAAAAATAATTAAAATTTAGGCCTCTAACTTATTTTTGGCTTTAGGCCACTAATTAGCTTGAGCCGCCACAGATGGTTATCAAAATATATATCAAGATTTAAGTATTAAGTTGTGAAATTTATGTTATTTTTTGTTACAATTAGTACTTTCTTGCTTCAAGATTGACGTCTTTAAGTATAAAGTTGTAAACTTTATGTTATTTTTTTATTGAATTGGTACTTCTTGCCAATATGTTCAAGATTTCTTCAAGTATAAAGCTATATTGTTCATGTGTGATGGGTCGGATTCTCCTCCAAAAGTATTTTTGGAGAGTTCGAGTAATGTATAAAGTTCATAACTTTATGTTATTTTTGTTTCAATTAGTACTTTCTTGTCAATATAATCAAGATTTCTTGGTTTTCTTGGAATTTCTTATTGCAGTTTCACAGAAATGCATATCGGATCATGCAGTTATGAGAAAAAGTGCCAATTATGAACATGGATCTTCCTCAACATATCATCCAATTAATCAATCTACTCTTGGCCAAAATTTGAGCAACAAAATGTTGAGTAACAGCTGCATTGGAGTTCAAGGTTCTGCAGATTATAATAGGCCTCCATTAGATCATAACAATTGGAGTACGGAGGATTATTCAGAGTATTTGAGTTACTTGTCGAATCAGAGTGTAGTCAAAATGGCTAGAAATCCCAAAGACTCGTGATTATTGCAAAAGATTCTTGAGTTGAATAACTATGACCACATATAAAGGATGCTTGATGAGGTTCTTAGTTCTATTTATGAGGTGATGATATATGAAACTGGACATGCTCTCTTCGTAAAACTTGTTGAGTTCTGCAACGACGAACAGTTACACCTAATTCTCAGTACATTTCAGTTTCATGTGGATTTATTTCTACAAACAGCTTTTACAAAGAATGGGTGAGTAGAGTTTTATTTTAAGTTCTTGAAAAAAATTTATCCTTCTGAACGTTGACTTAACTTCTTTTTTTTATCTTTTGATTTGACAGTTCAATGTCGATTGAAATGCTAGTTGTATGCCTAAAAGAGAAGCCATCTTTGGCCAAAATGTGCTCCAAATTTGTGTCTTTGAAGTTATTTGCACTGATGACTCATCGAGTAGGAAGACACATTGTTGAAAAGTGTTTCCGTGTGTTAAACGAGAAGCAGAATGAGGTAAAATTATTACAAATTTTGGTTGTTTTTCATATCTTTTAGCAATAAGGTATAGTGAATGCTCATTTATTGAATTTGCTAAATGATTTTCAAGTTTTGTATCGGGGGTTATTAGTTGTTTCAGAGATTTGGCTACAAATGTGAATGGATGTATATCTTTGGATGTTTGCATTGATCATATCACTAACCCTCTCAGAAAGGAACTACTGGAAAGAATTGTAAACCAGTTAGCTTACTTTGCTCATGATCCTTCGGGTAAGTAATAACATATACTAGTTTCCACCATTTATTGTCAATCATCTCGTATTTGCACTTTGACTTTAACTAAGGTCCAGTATGAACTTATGTGGATTCCAACTATCAAAATACTTCCAGAAAAAATGTCCAACTTTTTGATAGTAGAGGCCAATGTTTTATTGCTTTCCTCTTCTTCTTTTTTTGCTATTGTTGGCTGGTTTCTGGTTTATGTTTAAGAATATGTGTGTGTTCTTGTTAGGAACTATGTTGTGCAGCATATTCTTAAACTCGGGGACATAGAGATTTCAAATAAGGTGTGCAGTCAACTTGAGAAGGAGTACATTCAACTAGCCTTCAAAAGAACTGGTAACCGTGTTGTTGGAAAATGCTTAATTAGAGTCATCAAAAGCTGGAACAATTTCAGTAGTTGATGTTCTTCTAACGGATGCAAAAGCAATAGTTCGACTTGGCAAACATTTTTATGGCAGTTAAGTGATTCGGAAAGCATGCAATAAACAAAGGTATCATGTCCTTTAATAACCTCTCTATAACAACGTTGTTTGTGGGGATATTTTTTGGCTGCTATAGCAAAATATTGTTAACAATTTATCTGTGTCTATATTGACAGGTGCAGGGACAGGAAGCGCGCCATCAAGACCTAGTAAGAGTTTTAATGGCACATAGCTCGGATCTTGTTGACACCAAACCTGGGAAACATGTGATCTCAACGATCAACTATCTTGTTACTTGAGACACTTTGTAGATTCAAGACATCTTTGCTTTTTTACATTTGGGATATGCTATATTGTTACGTTTGGGATATTTCTATAGTTTGTGTTTGAGGCAAGAATTTTATTCCTTAGGATTCAAAAGTGTATTCATTACTTGAGGAAATTAAATATGCTAGAATAATCATAGATAAACACCATTTCATCTTCATCACTTTGAGGGAGCTACTCCCCCCAAAATATGACTTGAAAGTACAATAGCATTTTTCTTTTACAACTATGGTGTTCGAGCCAGCTTGCTCGCACCTCGATAATTCTACTAGCAACCTTCCACCAGCAGAAAGGCTTGGCCAGTTGACAGACTTGGAACTTTGAAGTACAATAGTTGGTTAATATTTCTAAGACAATGGCCTATGTACTTAGAGCTGAGACATTACAAAATAGAGCTGCATTCAACTTTCTGAGACTCCAGAACACTTCTAGCAGCCTCTTTGACTACTTGTCCACTCACATAATGCTTGCGGCACACGGGCATATATACTTCTGCTCCTGCAATCAACTCCGTTCTCGTCTCCTCTGTCTTCCTCAAGGTGAAAGAAGCACGTTCACCACAAAGTTCACATCGGGCAGTAAGTTTGGTCACGGAATCAGCAATTGGTATTACGTCAAGGACTGAACCAAAGCTCCTTCTGTAAAATCCAAAATATGATCCAATACAGATTAGTACACGAGTTTTTGCAACAGAGAATCACATTCAGTACATAAGAAATATTCGGAAGAATAAGCAGAATATCTCTTTCTCATAAAAAAAGGTATCAATTATTAGTACATTAGAGCGCACGGAGACTAAACGGAAGTAGTACCTTAGATAGTCACCATCTAACCCAGCAACTATCACAATCTTGCCATCATGATCAGCAACTTCCTTACAGAAATCATATAGATCCTCAAAAAACTGAGCTTCGTCAATGCCAATGACCTCTAACTGAAACCACGTAAAAGTCACAAAAACAGGCAGTCACATATACAAAGAAAAATGAGTAATGATAAAAGTCATAATACAGTATTGTTACATACTAGCAAAGAAAGTTCAGTAACCAACTTACAAAAGAGTGCATACTAGCTAAGAAAGTTTAGTGACCAACTTACAAAAGAGTGCATACTAGCAAAGAAAGTTCAGTGACCAACTTACAAAAGAGTGCTTCATGATTATATCATTTCCCCTCAAAACTAGGGGTAGATTTGGAGGGGTGGATCCCCCAACTCCTCAAGAATTAAAATTTAACCCGTCAAATTTAAAAGTTTCGGAAGAACGCACTCAAAAATAGACTTCTTTGCCCTATATGTGGAGATTACTTTCTGTTTGCTAACACAGCTAGGCTGCTAGCACCCTGACCATGTGTGGAAAAGGTCCTATGACAGTCGTCTAATATATTCACATCTCAATAGCTTCCCATTGAAGTGTTACCTTACTGTATGCTTCAGGACCACATCTCTGTTTGAATGATGATAGATTAGCTAAAGGCCAGCACGGTAATTTGTCTCCATCATGTGTCACAATGGAATCCAACCCATATCTTGTATCCTTGTCTGACTTTAAAATTGCTACACTTCTGCAGAGAGGGGAAATAGCACAAAAGCTAAATCAGACAATGATATGAGAACATCAGGAAGCCTTAAATATCTATCAAGATCATCAAAGTTCAAGCAGCACTTCAAAACTCAGAAGTTAGCATCTTTGTGAATCCAAATTATATGTCCATAATTGTATTATCAAACTTTTGATATCTTCAAGGCAATTACTAACTTAGTAAATTTTGATGTAAAGAATCATAGGAACAATCTCAGAAGTCAGAACAAAATGTATTATATGGTTATCCCCACAAGATAGGACCAATCTCCTTCGGAATGATACCATCAATTGAACAAAAGGAAACAGAATATGCTGGTTTTACTTCTCTGCGCGGCTGGCTACACGAGATTGATCCGTACACAAACTGCAGTTCAACTGGGAAGGAACTGAAGGCTCAAATTTATTTTCGTGTTCAACAGGATGCATAGAAAGGACAACAAAAGTATGCAGTGAAGATAGAGAGCCATGCAAACTGCAACTGCAACTAAAATAAGGATTGCATAGTCTAACACAAATAAGTAAACCATTAAAGGACTTGTTTATCCTGATTTATCCGACAAGTAGTTATTAATATTTCCACTATATGAAGACATAAATTTCCACCCACTTTTTTATGCTTGTTCACACAATTGCAGCTCTTGATGTGCCAGGTAGATGGAATTATGTCAGTTCCAGAGTAACATTCATAGGTTGGTAAAGATTCTAAAATCTTTTCAAACACTATCAACACTTATAAATGAATTGCCTAAATGTATTTTGGCAACAGCATAGAATGATCTGCTTAACCACCAGACATAGCAATATAGCATAAGAAAATAAATACAAATAGATTTCCTAGAATGCCCAAAATTCATCAATCCGTGGCAGCATTGGTTAGTATATAGTATCATAGAAGAAACAAACTCATTTGCTATAGGTTCAAATTATGATGACGTATGGCTTTTTAAGCATTTTATTGGAAACTACTCAACTCCGCTGTTACTACAATATAGTAAAAGATGACCTTAAGAGAATATGTTTTCAATGGTAAACTTATTTTATTAAGAATCACATCCAATAAACCGAGGCCATCACATTACTTGGTAATAAGGCAATTCATCTGTTTGTTCACATACATGTTCCTCATAGAAGCAAATAGCAAGCCCCTGCTTGCCAAACTAACAGTTGAAACTGTGGGGAGATCACAATCCAATTTTTGCATTCAAAGGCAAATGGCATCTCCACAGAAGATTTCTGTCAAAGGATCACAAATTCCAGGAAAGCATGGCTTGTGTCTGGAAAGTGCATTCCCGACTTATAGCACAAAGGCTGAAGCCTGTTTCTCTTTCTATGTTTGAATGTTAGTGTTTCCACTTTTATAGCTTAAAAGGATACGAGCATACAGCTGGAGTGTGACATGCATGGCACTTTTCGAGATACAGCAAATTGCCCGTTTAATAAGACTCTTTGCAGCTAAGTGGCTGAGGATTCAATCAAATGTTCATCCTATATTGTTGTTTGTCCTTTCTCTTTAACTCAGTAAATCTTGAACATCGCCAGCGTCTTTTAAGATACCTGCCATATCTTTGACCAATTTATATATCTCAGCAGTCTGTTCATGAGCATTATGTTCCATAAAGAAGAAATGTGCTTGTCTTTGAACCTCAATCATACTATAACCAGGCTCCTTTTTCACCCCCGAGTCTTTCATCAATCTCCTTATCTCCGCAACATTGTTCCACAAACCAAAAGAAGCATAAGCATTAGACAAGACAACATATTTGCCTGCATTCTCAGGCTCCAAGTCGAAGAAATTTCTAGCAGCAAGTTTTACCATCTCGATATCACCATGAATCTTACAAGCCCCAAGTAAAGAGCCCCATAGTACTGGGTGCTCCTCACAACGTGAGTTTTTGACAAACTCATGAGCCTCTTGTAATCTTCCAGCACGGCCTAGAAGATCCACAATAGCTGCATAGTGCTTTCCTCTTGGTTGAAGCCCATAATCTCTCATCATAGATGAAAAATACTCCTTACCTCTATCTACCAGACCTCCATGGCTACAAGCAGAAAGAACTGCAAGAAACGTAACATGGTTTGGCCTATATCCTTCATCTATCATCCTATGAAATGATTCCAGAACATCTTTTATTCTTCCATTTTGTCCATACCCTGATATCAGAGCAGTCCATGTTATCACATTCCTTTCCAAGGACTTACTAAACACGAGATAGCCATCAGATGGAGAACTACACTTGAAATACATGTCCATAAGCGCACTATTAACTACAATATTTCCACTAATTTGGCTTTTAATCAACAAAGCATGTGCTTGCTTGCCCTGCTCCAGGACAGCTAAAGAGGCACAGGCTCTAAAGACTGATGAAAAGGTATACTGATCTGGAAGTACATCTCTCTGTTTCATATCATGGTACAGACTCAGGCCTACTTCCTCCATGCCCTTCTGCACATACCCAGCAATCATAGCGTTCCACGAAACCAAGCTTTTAAATTGTAACTTATCAAATATAATGTGTGATGTATCCAAGTCTCCTGCTTTTGCATACAAAATTAACAACTTAACAGTCAGATATTCATTTGGAACAAAGCCGACAGTAATCATTTGCCAATGGACTCTTTTCCCTTTCTTATACGCTTGGCGGAAAATGCACTCTTGCAAAACAAGGGAATAAGTTTCTGCCTCCACCTGTACACCAGAGCGGCACAATATTCCAACTGCTTCAGCCACCCTTCCTGAGAAACAGAGACCTTTTATTGTCTCATCCAAATAGAGAGAATTCTTTACGCCATTGGCCTGAAAACTGGGAATATTACCAATCATGATTTCAATTCAAATGTCAACAGAATAACATGGTCCAACTTTTACTTCCTCTACATGAGCGAGCCAAAGAGCATGGAGATTTCAACACCCCAGGGAAGAAAGGAAAGGAAACAGAAAAAAGCCGATTCAAGAACAACAAAATTCAGAAGAAAGGCACAATCATTCAATGAGAAAGATGAAAGGTTGAGTAACAAGAAAAATTCCTAAACTTTTAACAACTAGAACTGCAGATAAACCAAGTCCAAATAGCATAAAGGACACTTGGTGCCTTGGAGCAATTGAATTTAGTGCTGCAACAACTTGGATTTTCTTTTAACAAGTACCAACAAGTTGCTTATTTGAACGCCAAGTGTGAAATCGAACTAAGAAAAGAGCACCCTCACTGGAGATGATATAAATGATTAAGTCGGGACTCTCACGTTGAACTCTTTCCCAACCATGTTCTTAAAATCATGAAAGATATCTTTACAGTTATATCCAACCAAATAAACCATCACCCAGAAAGTTGGTCTTCAATAAAAATAGCACAATATGGCATCATGCTGCTGAAAAGATGATTTGTTATGTTACTGAATACCATAACATTCTCTCCCCGACTCTGTTAAGCTATTGACCAAAACAAATTCTGAGGCAAGAAAAAAACACTTACAATCATTGGACTCAATGCATCATCTTCCATGTTTCATTTTAAGGTCTATATAGTGCATCAAAGTCTTGAGATTTAGCCAAAAGTCCTACTTATATAAGTTCTACAAAGCTTGTGTGAAGTATAAGACACTATAAAGTAAGTAGCTAAGTAGATAATCCTCATGCGAGGAAACCAAACAGATACCGGTTTATTTATAGGATGGCCCCAAAAAACAGCTGAGGCACACTTTCTACTCCAACAACATCATACCCCGTGTAAATCCCACAAGTGGAGTATGGGTAAGTTAGTGTACGCTGACCTTACCCCTACCCCCAAGTTGTTCACGATAGACCTTTGGCTTAAAAGAACAGTAACAACATCGAAATAATGCAAAATGGAAAACAGTACACAACATACAGAAGAAAGAACAGCACCAACAACGAAATAAGGTGATAACCAAGCACAAACAAACATAGGTAATAACCAAGAACCAGAAACTACCAGAATATTTCTACTCCAACAGATGAATAGTATAAAAAGATTTAAACTTTAAATATGCACAGCATTTCATTACACAACCAAATGAGAAACAGATTGAGAAAACTAACCTGCCATTGCTTCTTTCAGACTTAATCCTCTTCAAAAGAGTAGTAGTTTTTCCAGCAAACATAGGACCCACAATCACATGAACCTCACCAGAACCAGAACTCGAACCCGATGCCTCACTATTCAAGACCCGAATTTGATTATGGTTTGGCACAGTAGAACACCTAAAGGAAGAAACTTTACTCATGGGGTTCATTGTTTGAGCAGAATTAAGGTTCTTGAAAGTACTAAGAACCCCATATCTCCTGCATACAAACATGGTGGTAGGTCTTGAAAGTACTGGGGAAAGGAGTGATTTCATTCTTGATAATGGTAACATAAAAATTGATTCTTCTGGGCTTTTTGGGCTGAAATTCTTCAAAATTTAATCACATAGAGACTATTTGTAGGTATGATTTCATGGGAAATTGAGTCCAAATGATGATAAGAGTATATGAGATGAGAAAAGGGGGAAGGGTTTTAAGGGTTTTAGGTTCTTGGAGGGAAGATGGAACCAATAAGGATGCAAAATACAACTTACCTACCAAATATTTTATCCGGATCAGTTTTCGCGTAACTCGATTTGAGAGATATATGTGAGCTCCTACTAGTAACTAGAGGTACCAAACTTACCTACCAATTGTATATTGTAAAATGGTGGATTTTGTATTTTGATTATACATTATCTAAATTTAATATGATCATTTTGATGATTGTTTTTATCAATCATATTATAATATTAATTAAGAATAATTTTTATTTGTTACCAATCATAATAAGTAACTAGCAAATTGGATTGTTTATCATAAAAAGATGTAATATTCGCGACTCCGAAATAGATAATTAGGAATTTCTTGATCGCAAGACACTCCTCCACTCAATAGTGTCACAAGTTAATATTGATTATTGATGATAATGGAATGAAATAATTAGTGAAATAAGATTGTATAATAAGCGTTTTTTCTCTCTCTATGAAAGCACGCTAAATCAAAATACCAAAATATGTTAATGGCAAATAATAATAGGTCGTAGAGCTTTGATTTAATGATAAGATCACAACATGTGATGTGCAGATTAAGTGTACGTCATGTATTGCATATGAACTCTATCTGATAGGTTTAGTTCAATCAAAGAAAAAGAAAACGAACATGATATTTAAAACTATGAAATAGAAATATATAGAACAATAAAAACTATAAAGAATATGTATTTATTACTAATTTTGATAAATACATACAATACATATCCGAGGAGTAAATATATGCAAACTTTATTCTTAAACTTTAAATATAAAAATATTATTTTTTGATAGACTGTGGACTCGTGAAGATTATGATTAAAAGGAGATTTTGACTTAAACTTTAAATTCTCAAAGCAGCTTGTGGAAAGATAAATGATTTTTATGAAATGTTTGTAGTGAGTGATATATATTACTATTAGCTTTTGCATGTGATATAATCATTCATTCAGTAAATATAATTGTGTCCAAAAGCCATATAATGATGCATTGATCAACAATTGGCAAATTTCTCCGTCTTAATTTGGATTCGTGTCGTATAAAATTTAGTATTTTTTTTTTATTAATATATTTTATATGTAAGTTTAAACTCAAAATTTATGATTAAAAGTGAAAGAAATATATTCATACCATCATAATTAATTCGTCCTAATTAAAGATAAAAAATTGAATGGAAGCACAAACATATTATATAGTTTTTTAGGAAGATATTTTATGAAATATTTCCAAGTTGTTTTCGAAAGTATAAAGCACAAATATCAAAGTTGTTATACTTTTTTTACCCTCTAAAAATGAAGTTTTATGTTAATTAATTATTGAATTACGTTGTATAATTTTCATGTGATTGTTAAGCTATGAATTTTTGTTGTAAAAATAATCGTTGATATTTATATTATGATAGATTATATATATTACACTTCTCAAGATGTAACCCTTTTATAAATTCTATGTGAACACGAAATATTATATACACTACTATTTTTTTATGTTAGTATAATTTGGTCGGATTGTATAATTGTGATCACGATTTTTAGTATTATTGTAATGGATATTTTAAACAAATGCTTCAAAAATAAATTAACAAAAATCAGTTCTAATAAGTAATATAGCTCAAAAAGAATTTAAAAAACGCAAAGGCAAATAACCAAAATATTTCTTGGGCACAACAATAATTAATTTTCTAACCCTATAAAAGGGAAGAAAAAAAGAAAAAGAAAAACAAAGTGCGTAAATTGCGGTACATTCTTGGTCACCAAGACATTATCTAAGAAATTACTGTACACTTTACGCTCCACCTAATTTAGATTTGCGTCAAAAAAATCTTACTTAAGAGATACAACGTTTTTACTAAAATCGATTTCATTTCCAAATTTCATATTCAAGCTTTCTATTAAGGATAAAAACATACTTAACGTTCCACCACGATAATCTTTAATGACATCTCAATTTTCTTAATTTTGATAGAAGGAAAAACACTATTTTAAGAACCTTAAAATTTAACCATCTTTAATTCTCCAAATGTTTGCTTACAGTAATTCTTCTTTTTTCTCGATTTTTTTGTAAATATATTTTTCAAATAACTCTTTAGCAACTGAAAATGCGAGGGGTAGCGTTCAAGTCAATCTACACGTATTTCAATTAATTTTACGAAATATTTATAATCTTCTACACCAATATGTATCAAATAATCATGACCGTCAAAGCTAGAATGCAATTGAACTTAAGACCTCATTAATCTCAATCACTTTATTAATCATTAGGCATTAAGTCACGTTCTTCGAGGACAAATCATCCGAGTACTTCGATCTCCTATATGATATATTTAAAAAGTAATGAAATTATTATTAAATCTTTTGGGGACGTAAACAATATTCATTATCAAAGATTCGCCAGGATTATTCTAGAAAAGTATTTACGATTTCACCACAATGCTCAACGATAACAACCAATTGCCTAAAATAGTTGTTGACTTGTTGTAACATTAGAAAGTCTTAACAATACTCAGAATTTATTTGTTTTTTTGGGGAAAAAAAAAGAAGAAAAAAGTTGTCACTAAAATGAAGGGACGGTTGGTAAGTTACTGTAAATTAGTTGTCATTTTGAGTTTTATATAAAAATAATTAGTACTCATATATATAATATATAAATATAACTATAATATTCCTTTTTTGTGTATTTTGATTAAATCTAAGTCTACCTGTTTTTATTCCTTTTTTAGATGAATAGGCAAACAAGGAATCCAATCTGTCCAACACACATTTCCCACTTTCTTCACATTTTTTTATTCAAAAAGTTGAGATAAATAAGTGAGTTTTCATGTTAAATAAATAAAATTCTTATCTTATTCCAAACGCAGTATAAAAGCCATTTCATCTTTAAATATTATAGCTTTTGTCATATATATATATATATATAAATTCTAATCTTGGTTCGTTAATTATTAGTATTAAATTACTGGTCCTTCTATGTTCAATTAGTAAAAAATATAAACTTAACCTTAGATAATTTATTGATAACTCAATAATTTTATAAAAAGACCGATGAATATATGAGGTGTCAGATATCACAAGAGCTCAAATCAAACTAACGGAGCAAAAGTGTTATTTTATTTATTTTTGGTATTATATATGCTACTAATATATTTTATCAATATATTATTATTATTATTATTGTTGTTGTTGTTTTAAAAAAAAAATTGGTTTTTGACGTAGCATGTGACTTGGTCCATATTTTTTCTGTGTTGCGGTTCATGCCTTTCCACCACATGAACGGATAATGGAAGCTTGGTATAATTGCAATATTTTCTAATTAAGTAATCCATTTTATTTATAATTAAAGAGCACAAAATTATAAGTCTTCCTTTGCCAATTTTTTTAAAAATAACTAAAGTTGCTTAGTAATTTACAAAGTGATATATGTTTGACCTCCATGACGAACGACGGATCGAAGAGAATAACAATTAGTTGATTTTACGTTGGCAAATATCTGAAGAAGAGATTTATAATACGTTAACCGAATTTCACATTTGACTGAAGAGAAATTGAAGAGTTTTTATAAGGTATTACACAAATTAACATGATACATGTATTTTTAGATTTTCAATGATGATATAATAAATAAAAAACAAATTGGTGGAAATTTTGATTATTTATGTTTCTAAAATTTGATCTTTTTACCATTTAAAGGTAACTCTTGTAAATGATTAATCGTTAAAGAAGCAATTTGTGCCTAATTTAGAAGCTAATTCTCAAGGTTCTTAAGCAATCACTATTATATTAATTATTGTAAGTGGATAAGATTTTCAAGATACTATATAATGTATGTCAAGTAATTTAGGGATAATAAATTTTTTGGTACTTCTGTTAATC